ATAGAGATGCTGGCAAATAATAAAAAGTAGGCATTACCACCTTGTAAGCTGTTCTAATCAGAGCTTTGAAACTAGCTGAGAATGGGCCTGGTTAGTACAAGAGGACCTCTAAAGGAAAATTAGATTGCTACTATACTGTAAGTGCTACTATTAGTGGCCCAGTAGGTGGTACTCTTCCCTTTGAATCAGAATGTCCAAATTAGTGACACAATTTGGAAACGTAATATATCATGTGTGCTTAGGAGATGACATTCTTAATATGTGGCAATAGCCTGTGGTCCTGATTACTTTGTCACGTTTTGATGCCTCAATTACCATGGTACTCATCAGAAGAGTTAATGAGAGTAAGTGAAAGACTAAGAGAAGGTAAAGAATAGTAATATACTGTACATGTAACAGCTCTGTATTATGTAGTACAATAAACATAACTATATAACATAACTGTAAGTCCAATAAATATTATTGTTAGATGTGATAGATCTACTGCAACAACATAAGAATTCATATTACTAATATTATTATATTATTTACTGTTCATTATACAGTATGCATTAAGATGCTGCGATCAAGTTTTTAAAAATTCTGATCAATATAAGTTTGTTTGGTTTCATCTGTAAGGTGACTTAATTCCAGCTAAATTGTTTTAAAAATAGGCTTTTCAAAACACGGTATTAAGAATAAGAATAATTCATTTAAACTCTATTGAACTTTATACATACAGTATATAGATGGGGAGACATTTTGTCTACCTATGAATTGCAGCACCCACCTAGGTGATATAAAGTCATCATACTGTATATAGTCACCCCTTTACAAAGTCGATCTATCGTAGGAAGTAAAAGTGCTGTACCAATAGAAAGCCATTTCAGAACTCTATGTAGTCCATAGTGAAGTGTAGCCAGGACACTGAGGTGTTAAAAAATGTCCAAAATCTCAGCAGAAAATCATAAATGATGTACAGTGAATGAGAAGAGCAGAAAACTGAAGCCTAAGCCTGCTGCACAGCAGTGTATATCCTTATAGTCGTGTGCATTTGCATAAATCTCTTGAGGAACAAATGCTAATATGCCACAAGATTCACATTGCTGTCATTTGAATTTTCTTACCATTAAAACAGCAACCTAAGGAAACATAACAAAAAATGAAAAGGAAATTAAATATGTTATATTAATACCCCTAGAATGGTAATACTTCTTATCTGTTGAACTTTCATTCAGGGCTATTTTCTTAATATTGTAGAAGACAAGTCTGGGGACTGTACTTTTACCAATTTAATCAACCTGCAGACAGGAACGCCCTGTAATTTCGTTGAAGCACTTCACTAAGAACTGTAATGCTCTGCCACTGATTGGCACCGCGATTCTAGGTTTATGACAGAAAGTAAGACCTTGCTACAGTTTCCATCAACAGAGATCACAGTCACAGCGTACATTACAGTGCAGACCATAATATCAGTGTCCATCAATCAATTTTTAATCAATCTTTTCAAGGTGACATCACCAAAAAACATTTAGATGTACGTTATTTAGCTAACATTTTTGTAAACGGTGATTTAAAGCAATAAACGGCAAATTCTGAATTCAATAGCATGTACCTATAAGGAAGTTACATAAGCCATACATATTCAATCGTAGGACAATTTTCACAATATACTGTATATGTACTGTATATGTACCATCTGGATTCTTCATTGCTTCATTGCTAAGTATACATAATGTTGTATTTGTGATTAGATAATTATTCTGTTGAATGTGAGGTTGTAGGACTATCAATAGTAGCTGTGCCTTTTTTCTCAGCATGATATCCTATAAGATCTTGTCATCATCCGTCTTAAATTTGCATTTCTGTACTATTGGAACCCCACATCTAATTTTAAATTCTAGCTGACAGTTCTGGAAATATGGGTTAACAGTAGGTGCATCTTAAGAACTGGTACACACAAATTACAGTCTTGCCTGGAAGCACAGAGAATGCTAGTGTCTACTTCTTAAAAACGAAAAATTGCGTTTTCGTCAATTTACTATAAAATCAGTAATCAAATTTTGTTTATGTTATTGCATGGTCTAATTATGGTTATGGTGTCCAGTTTCCTTATCTTGGTAATCTGTTGTACATAATTTGTGTAACTTAAACTAAATGAAGTAATGTTGTTACCCTTTTTTTGGAACTTAATGTAAAACACAAAATAATCTTTCAGCAGGATGAGTGAATCTTCATGCAGTGACACATCAAAGCTACTGTATGATGAGGTTGAGATAGTACATCAGACAGTTCTACTTGCTGTCCAGCAAAAAATCTTCTTGTAATCATCTGCATCTTTAACAAATGTGGTAGTTACTGTACCTTTAGATCTATATATACTGTATAAAGGCCTTTTTCTCTCCTTTCTCACAGTTTGACAGTTACCTCGGTTGTAACAAAGTTGATTTGAATAAGCAGGATAAAACCAGTTATATTTCAACCAGGATACAGGGTGTCTTTCTCCAAATGCCTGTTCTCAAGTGAATGCATTTTTCATTTGCGTTTCGATGTATAATAGATTTGAAGAAAGACTGCACATCCTCACCCTCAAGGCCCTGCCCTATTAAATCCTTATAAATCAATAGATCTGTGAAGGTATTCCTTTAAAAACTGTGATTTAAATGCAATATTCTCTGCTGGGCAAAGCAGAAGAATCATAGACCATTTAAATCCACTCATACCACAACCACACTTTGTTGTTTACCCAGCTAAAAAGCATTGTGGATGAAATGTTGCATTTTGGTGATGAACAACTGTCAAATGAGCTATTGGGCCAATGGTGAAATTCCTGAAAAGGTCATCCTCATTATGCAAGCTTGCCAGGAGTATGTAATCAAATAAATAAAAAATGTGTGGGTGCCACACCATCACTTTTTCACTGGATTTAAATAGGAATGTGAACAAAATGTTAATAAAACAGAACAGTTTATATGATTGCTCAGTGTTACATTGAACTGTTTGCTCTAGAAGTAGAAAAACAAATGGCAGATTGTGAAGCAAAAGGCATGTATAGTTATTTTTTTGTTTTTAAGAGCCAGATACAGAAAAATGATTATAGTTTTCTGTTCAGAAATACATTGATCATGCATTTATTCCTTTCTGAAATGCATTTCTCGTAAGAATGTTTTTATTTAGTTTTTATTGTAATAGTTTTAAAACTTCAAGGGTGTTTTATTTTATTTCAGCTCTGCCGTATAAGAATTATGAAATTGTTTGTATTTCTGCATTTCAGTCAGATTTCATTGGCTGTATCCCTAGAGGGAAATATAAAGGGTGATTTAGTGATGTCAGTGGTACAGGGTTGGATTTAGTGTTTAATGGTTTTAGGGTTGGCAGTGAAAACATAAATTAGTTTTCGGATTACACAGCATGCTAATTAGCAACAGAGACCATATGGTGCAAAAATTGTATCTGGGATACAATGGGGTTTACCAGTAATACTACAGAATCGTATTTCTTAAAACAATACAAAAAAATAAAATTTTGCGTATAAGCCCATGGAGTTCTGCCAACACATTACAGTATGTCTGCCCCCAAAGAGCTACAGTATTTAAAGAGTAATTCCAAGAAACCTTCTTTCCAAGTTCCAAAGCATCTTCTTTACTTTACCGTACTAGACAGAGCTTTTGTGAACTGATTTAGCCTGAACTACTCTTTTCACCCCACTAAACATATAAGGTTAACTGCTTCTTGGCAGAACGTTTGTCTTGTCTTAGCTGGTCTTGACTGTAGAATTGCTCTCAAAGAAATTAGACACCTGGGCTGTGCACTTCAGATCTCTGTTTCTTTTTCATATGTCTCCATCGCCGAGGTGGAATGTCTATTTGAAAATCCCACAACCCTTAAAAGCAGTTGCTCCCTGTAGTCATACTATTTTAGAGATGAAGTTTTAATTTGTTAAATAAATGCATTTTTTGTCATCTGAGGCAGACATCCCCCTGTTAAAAAACACAGATGCTGTGGGCTTTCCTCTATTTTAAGACTATCTCTGCATACATGGTTGATCCTTTAAAATGTTTTATTGTCTCTTATTCAATAGAGTCCAGACATATTAGGCAATTATGTTCAAAGAACGCTATCATTTGCTAAGTGATGCGCTATGATGACTATGAAGGTGTCAGAAAAAAAATGGGTAAAAAATCCGATGCCCTTAAAACCTATTAAATTATTATGAGAAAATGGTTCAGAAAAACGTCCAAGCATACAATATGTAAGAGGAGCTTTAGATATTGTCAATTTATCAAATATATTAAAGGCATGTAAATTACTTAAAGGTCAAGGATGTGCCAAGCACTTAATATATCTATAAAATACAAAAAAATGTCAGGTGCATTCATTCAGATTAAAAATAACTTAGAGCCTCTTGAGCCTAGTTAGCAACCTTACACTTGAAGGTTGTAGATTTAATTTTCGGTAATTCAACAGCCTGTAAATCAACTGTAAATCTTTAAGAATGAAAAAATTGAGTCACTAGAATTAAGATATAAGAGATTAAAAATAAAGCCACAATAAAAAATAAAAAATGCCTGGCAAATTAACAAAGGTAAACTTTTTTAAAGGGTGTTTTGGATAGGTTCCTGGTGGCATTAATAATTTAACTTTTTCCAGCTTGGCATCTGACCATGTTTTACTGAACATGTGCCTTCCACCTGCCGCTAAAAGGAAATTATTAAGAAACTCTTGACTCGGCTGGCTGTTTTCAAACTGCACCTGTCTGCCACCTTCTTCCTCTCCCTTTTGTGGAGCTATACAGCTAGGCAATGTCAGGGTGCTAACCCTGATCAATTTGTGAGCTGCTTTAACATCTTTTCTTCTGAACCCACAACACTAGTGTCAGAGTAAGGAAAACACAGTGACTCAGCCTCATCTCAATATCAGCAAAAGGTTAAAATATCTTGCGACATCTGTGGAGTCCCTTTTGGCTCTCCTGTGACTGATGGCAGTCGGGTGGTAAAAAAAAGCTTTATCGAAATACTCACCTGGGTGAGAAAGTGTGGATGCCAATTCTTCTGAATGGGCTGCCAGAAATGTGGTGCCTGAGGGAGGCTAAGGAAAAGCAATGTGGTTGATTAATAATGTTCTTTTGGGACCTTGGTAATGAAGCACAAAGTGATGCACAAATTTATTAAAGGTACATCTAAATTCAACCTACAGTGATGCTAGAAGTTATTTTGAAAATGTTCACAAAGGAGTTGGTATAATTCCAAAATTCCAAAACTGCTATTGCTACTGCTGCTGCTACGGAAAATAATTAGGAACAATACATATCTGTAATACAGAAGAAAGGAAACACAACGTCACAGCCGAAGAAGGCTCCACAGCCAAAACGTGTTTCCTTTCCTCTCTTTTCAGGATGGAATAAACCTTTACTTAATTAATTGCAGCCTACGCATGCTGACGGAGCTACCTACTTGAACTCCTTCATACCTGTGACCATATTGGGACCATGTTCAGGTGGGTAACTGCGTCAGCATGCGTAGGCTGCAAAAGAACAAGTAATAGGTTTATTCCATGCTGACAAGAGAAGAAAGGAAACAACATTTCGGTGGCGAAGCCTTCTTCAGGTGTGACATTGTGTTTCCTTTCTTCTCTTTTCAGCATGGAATAAACCTATTACTTATTCATACTGTGACCATGTCTGTCTGTCTGAAGATGTAAATTAAAGTAAATGTAAAAACACATAGTAAAGTTCTGTAATCTGCAGTCTTTGTTCTTTTTTGTGGTGTCATTGATACATTTTATATTTTGTACTGTACATCACACAAACATTTTGGAGTTTTCTACTGTAAATATCTCTGCACCAGAGGTTTTGTGTCAGCTGCAGCACTCCAATTCTCCACCAGCCCCCGTCCCTGGCTCCATGGTTCTGAATAGTAGGACGATGTGTGTCTATAATGACAAGACAGGAGAGGATCCAGAGAAGCCAGGTGAAAGAACAGGGATGCTCCAAACACAGCACCAATATCTCTTTAGCTTTAATTAAATCAGCCAAGCAGATCTGTTTCTGCTGCTGGAAGAAACCCAGATCAGATTCATGTGTGAGGCAGACTCTTTATTATCACATTCAACCACTGTGCTTGTGCAAGGATCTTCTGCAAAATCGTCTCGCAAACATATAATGCATAACAGGCATTTTCTTCTAAGAAAATGCAAGGACAAAAAGATATCCAAGCTGGCAAAACATAGGCACAGAACAGGACCTTACTTTGTGGTTGAAAATGTATTGTCTCTTGTGATGTTGTGAATTGGTCAAGACAGTGCTCTCTATTGATCCTCTGCAAAGAGTCAAAGAAGGTTCACAGGCCAGGTCTGGTGCACTTCAGCTATATTTTATATTAATCTTCATGGAAATTTGAACTTAAAATGTAAAGTATCAATGATATGTCGGGGTTTGTGTGTAGTGTGGGATAGGGCTACTTTAATGTCAGTAGTGCATCAAAAACAAATGCCAAGGATACTTTCCTTGAGGTGCATAAACATTCATTAATATGCCGAATCAGTTTTACAGCTTTGGTGTCTTGAACACTAGTGCCCCGACTCCTTTTTATTTTTATTGCATTTTAGTGGGCATCTTGAAGTAGAAAAGGCTTATGGTTCTTTGTGTGCAGTAGATTTTTGTAAAGAAAGATGCATGTTCTGACTTGCAGTAGAGTTTATGTGCTGTATCTCTTAATATAAGCTGTCACATTTATTTTGTGTCTAACTTTCACTACTTTCAGTTTAGAATCCCTGCTTAGACATGACTGTTACAAACATAAGAAAGGTAAAAAAAATTAGTGAAAGCCATTAAGCCCACCTATCCTCTATGGTAATTAGAAACTAATTGAACCAAGGATCTCATCCAGATTTTATATTAATAAAAGTCCAGGCTATCAGCTTAAACAACATGGCTGGGTAGCATCTTCTACACTCCTGAATTTCCAGTTGGTTATTTTTTTTAATGTAACATTCAGAGTTCGAGCGCTGGGGTTTAATTTAACAACTGTACAATATGTCATGCATTTAAACTGCCAACAGGCATTAGCATATTAAGAATCTGTGCTGCAGAATAATTGTTTTTGAACAAATATACATTTTTGCAAACAAATTGAGCAAAAGACAATAAGTTGAAGTCTTTGTGGGGGATTAATGGACTGCAATTACATTGAACTGACCTTGTGCTGTGAGTCCCACACTACAGGGATCCCCAAGAACCACTGTTTGGATCCAACAGCTGGTCTATAATCATGCACTGGTACTTCCCCTCCAAGTTCAGGTACAACTGAAAGCCTTATTCACTTCTGCAATTACACTTTGGACGGGCATATCTATTTTCTTTTCAGATACTGTCAGAGGTATAAGAGGAACAATTCCTGTATCGGTAATGATGGCCTAAAATCACTGGGTTGTCAGGTCTTTCACTAAAGAAAAAGGGGTAGTGACCTTTCTTTTTGAGCCTAGGTGCCCACTTGTAGTCCTGTATTCATTCCTGCTGTTCCAATCTTTAGAAAGACCTTATATTGCCAACTCAGCTCTTACATTTCCACAGCATATGAAGAGCGCATGTCATAATGCAGCATGCAGCTCTTCCAGATCATCAAAGATTAGAGGTTTAATCTGAGCAGATTCCTGTAGTTATGAATTGATGATAAAAGCTGGAAGGAAAGAATGCATTTCACTCACCGGTGATGCATTCTTCTCCATCAGCGGGGGAGTGAAATAAGTGTGGAAGAATAGGTCCTTTGGGGACTCATATAATAAACGCTGAGGCACCATTGTTTATAGTGGAAGTCTAGTTGTCTGGGACTTTGGTCTCTTGACAAGAACCATTGGTATGTCAGGTCCATTATGAGCAGCCTGCAGTAAATATTACTGATGCCAATATAAATAATATATCAAGGAAGAAGCAGACTGTCTACCAGAGAAAGCTGGATTGGAGAAATGCAGATTGAAATCTACAGGGACAACTGACTTCATCGGGCTAAGTAATACAGTAAGACTTGACATTGTTTCGAAACACCTACCAGTGAAAAGCAGAAATTCTCAAAGAAGCATGATAAGATTACTGAATTGTTTCTAAAGGATCAACAAAAATTTGTATGTGATTTTAATCAGATTTTTGAATGCAGCACAGACACAACATATTAATTATTATTGTACATATAGATACAACATCCAATACCCACAGCAATTATTGTACCCACAACTGAGATGATTATGATGATGATAATAATAATAACAACAACGACAATGGTGTTTTTAGAGAGCCATTCATATTCATGAACAATATAGGATATCTGAGCTATACTGTAGAGTTATTACTTTTCTAACAGAAAATGGCAGGGTATTCCATATCTTTGGACCTAAATGTGACAGAAAAGAACTTTTCTAGCTAAGTGTTATTTTTCTTCACAGGGGTCTGCCAGGCAGAAATACAAAACTGGTCCTAATGGTCATTGTTAAAGAACCCACAAAGTTAAACTGATGCACGCTTACCAATCACATTTCATAACTTGCTATATTTTTGAACTTTTATTATTATTGGAATTTTATTATTTTGTTGGAATTATTCTTATGACTTTTAACAACATTGTATTCTGAATGAAAGAGAGAAGGGGGACCTACAGGGAATAGGAGTGAGAGAAATGGAAAGGATATCCAAAAGCAAATTTAATAAATCAGTCTTATTAGAGCAAGCTGCATGAGGAACACACACACTTTATATGAGGCAGATTTGAAAAAAATGTGTTGACCCACCAGCCATATTTAAGAATCATAACTGAAATCTCAGCATACAAAATGCCTCTGGGGTGTTCACACTGCAGATAAAAGCATGACTTCAAAGTTATTTTGCAAACAGAAGACAATAGACAAGAGAAGCATTTTTATTGAATTTTACTACAACTATTGGAAGCTTCCATAAAGCACTTTTGCATGGCATACTGTGGCCTAAGCTTAAATAAAAAAAAAACTCCAATCAACTCAGAAACCACAAATTACAAATTCAGTATGACATAATTCACACATAACATTCTCACCCTTTCAAATATCTCTGTCTTTATCAATGAATAGAGATGCCAGTTTAAGTGGAAGACAAAATATCAAGGTTGTGCTGCACAGATGAGCCTCAGAGTAGAAACTCAGTTTGAGTTTGAGTTGAATGTTATGACTTCTTTATATTTTTGGTATGCTGAAAAACATGATGGGACCACCTCACTGGGATTTTAATTTTCTTTAATTTAACGCTCTACACCAGCAGAAACTCCATGATTGCCTTTGTAGCTCATAATTGATTGATAGCATCTCCTGGTTCTATTTATAGGCAACTGTGATAAAGTACAAAGTGCAGAAGAATCTTTTGTGAATGTGCCCTTTATTATTGCTTGATGCAGTTTTGAAGCCCTTTGCATATCTTCTGATAGATGTATCCATGTATACTGATGCTGTTATGACATAGCTTGCTGTAACTGACAGGCGTGTCTCACCATCAGGCTGGAAATCCAATAGCAGGAGCTCTGTGTTTTCCGCAGGCTGGTGGAGATTAGCCGAAGAGGAACAGAGAACACTCTGTTTAATGGCGGATGGGAGTAAGTCTGAAGGGAAAAAAAGATAATGCAGGCAGGCAGGCAGATGCAGGGAAGACGCCACTGGATCTCTGCTGGTTGTCCAGGGATGCAGTCGGATTTTGGGTCTCTAATCTCAAGTTTCAGGGGTTCTAGGGGTTTCAGGTTTGTTCTGTTCTCCCAACTCTACCTCAAGCAGCTCAATAACAGAGCACCTTCCCTGTGGCGTTTCAGTGATTACATAGGGGAAAACCAGGATGATCATTTGGAAGATTGGGTTCCTGATTGAAAGGGGGATGGAAGCACATACAGACACAGTGAGCATGGCCCTGGGACAAATGTGATCACTTATGACTGTTGAGGTCTCCTGGGTCAATCATGTACTGTAAGCCACCACTGGCCTGTGTGTAATAGTAGCACAACAAAAAATGTGAAGTCTAACTTTTAGATCAATAGCTTATTAGGTGCATACAAAATATTACTTACATTTTAAATAATGGACATTTATGTTTGTTGATGCTTTGAGTAGTATACTTTGGAGTTTCCAGCTGTAGCCATGTCTGGGAAGCATGTTCCATATCCTCACAACCTTGTGGGAGGATCTGGTGAAGGATTAGTTTGCCACTGCCATTGACAGGAGGCAACCTCGGTTAACCAGCCTTGTCCAGCTGCCTGTGCCTGCACAAGAAGAGTGGCGGAACATCCTGCAGCAGGTTATTTAATGCCGATGAGGTCTATTGGTTAATACTGACCAGGACTGTGTCAATGCTCAGGATGGTCACACTTAAACACTAGCTTTGTAATGCTTTAATTTTGACAGTCCCCCCCCCTGTTTTCTACTGAAAACAGAACATAAATCAAACATGAGCTAATTTTGGTGGCATTTTCAGATTTTTTTTTTCATTTTCAAAGTATTTCATTATGTCCCTTACATGTGAGACCTTGTTTCCTCAATATGCATAATGACTGGATGAGACTGAACCTCTTCAGTTTTTCCATATTCGGTGAGAGATTTTCCAGTATGTTTATGCTTTAAAATATTAGGAATAAATACCTTATGATGTAAATATTTGCAAGCGATTGAGAATATTTTCTGTGGATGTTTTATTTATGAATGCCACCTTTGGGTACCATGGTGTCAAACTGACTCAGTGTGTTACCATTATGCCCATACTTACAAACTGTCACAGCAGCACCAAGATGCTGATTTATTCCAAGCTGTTCTAAACTTTCAGCTCCAGTGGATACCTTGGTGCTTTGCTATTCTACAAAGAGGCTGTTAAGCTGTTTACTCTTTAATCTGTGTTGACTGCAGCTTTGGCTTTTCTCTCGTTGTGAAGCAGAGGT